GGGGGGGGGTATAAACCGTCAAAAATATCGCTGGCGTAGTTTGTGCAAGTCCCCGAAATACTGGAACATTGATATATCGTTTTACTCACTTGTCTAACTTTGTGCTGGATATCCTGTCTGATGGCAAGCGTATAAATAAAGAAGGACAAAGCTTCCATCGAGGTGTCCGAGGCCGCATAGACAATGGTCTTAACCTCCTCGTTGAGCTCCTCTTCGTTCAGCGCTACGCCTTCTTTAGAAAACAGCACGTGGTCCAGAAACGCTTTCCGCTTCCGCGGTGGATTCATGTGAGGGCTGTTGTTATTAAGGCCTTCCCTCTTTTGGCGTATCATCCGCTGTACAAACCCGTCAAAGATTTTCCTTAACTTGGTGTACTCCAGGTACCGGGTGCGATGCAGCGAGTAAATCCACTCGCTCAGGAACCATGGACGCCTAACTCGATAGAAGAAGTTTTCGAAACCCTTTGTGGTTGAGCTTACGAATTCCAACTTCTGTGGGTCGTCATCATCCAGGTCCGAGGACATGAAGGTCTCGCAGACTGTGTTGTTGGTGCAGGACGCACAGACCGGCGTCACGTCCAATACCTCCCCTTTGTCAGCGTACCCGGCTAGCTGGTCGGCGAGGGCCACCCCCCGCTTGTGGAAGGTTGGCACGAAGTCGCGCAGGATGTCGAGGTGCAGGCTGGGCGAGATCGCTTTGCGGTGGCGGCGCCAAACCTTCCCGCCTAGGGTAACCAGTCCGCTCCCTAAGATCGGCTCTAGCGGCCGGTACACCTGCGGCTTATTCAGCGCCTTGGGGCTTGTCATGACTGCCTCGATGTCGGCGGGTTGCAGAACGAAGACGATATTGATGTGTCCCACCGCGAAGCGGCACACTGGCCCGTAGCTGCTGTAGGTGGAGACCATCGTGTGGACGCGGTTGTAGATCTCGTCGGGGCTGCCGAGTATTTCGAGCGCATTTCCGATGATGGGGAGCCTGGGCGGCCCCGGCAGCTCTGCTATCATACGGCAGACGCGCCTGAACTCGGACACGACGGGCCAGGAGCGGACCGCCAAGCAGGCGGCGACCACCAGCAAGAGCAGGACGAGAAGGAGCATCTTTCGACCGACGCAGACTGGAGTGAACCACGCCGGGCGAGGTGTTCCCTTAGTTGTCCGGCCCCCTTCCCGCCCCTCCCCTCCCTACCTTCACTTCCCCGCCCTTCCCATCCTTCTCTTCACATCACCTGCCCTCCCCCCCCTCTCCCCACTCCGCGTGTAAGACGTTGTGACGTTCGCATCGGCGTGACCGCTGTTGCGGTCACAGCGATAGTAAATTTGTCTTCCTTGCGAGCGTTATGCACCCGGGCACACTTTTCTTTTAGGTGTGTCCGGACGTAAGGTTCCGTATGTCAAGCCCAAGACACAACAGTGTTGCGGGTTTGCAAACCCAAGGGGCCATGGTGCCTTACGGGTAGAGCGAGTCGTTGCCCTGATTCGAGTCGCTCAGCCCACCGCCGGCAGGAGGTCACTGGCCTGAAACTGGAAGACATTCGGTGGTTTGGGCCGCCCAGATAGAACACAATCGTCCAAAACTCGTCAATGACCCTCATTTGATGTCAAAATGAGCTCATTCTGGCTACCTAGGCGCAGTAAATTTTGACATCATTTTGGCAAACGTGTTCTACCTGGGCGGCGGAGCGAACGATTTAATGTGTACAATGCTCGCTGATGGAGTGGTCGACAACTTGGCTTTAGTCCACAGGAGTACAGTCGGTGTACAGTTCAAGTACCGGTAGGGTTGCCCAAAAAAACGCATTTTTTGATTTTTGAGTGGGCATGTTGGCCAGAGGGTGCAATTTGGTGTATAGATACACCATGATTTTTATTATGAAAATGGAACGATATTTGACCCTGCCGAAACGAGCTCAAACTTTAACATTACTTTCTTATGGGGAATTCTACTTAAAACTACAATTTGGGCCTGGAGCTCAAAATATTACCTGTAGATGAAAAGTGTTGTAAAAATCGTGATCTACGCGAAAAACCGAGTCTGACGACATGCCACTTGCCAGTATCCGCCATCGCATTTCGTAGAAATTATTCGTGAAATAATCACTTTTTTGAGGAAAAAATAGCAAAAAAGTGATTATTTCACGAATAATTTCTACGAAATGCGATGGCGGATACTGGCAAGTGGCATGTCGTCAGACTCGGTTTTTCGCGTAGATCACGATTTTTACAACACTTTTCATCTACAGGTAATATTTTGAGCTCCAGGCCCAAATTGTAGTTTTAAGTAGAATTCCCCCTAAGAAAGTAATGTTAAAGTTTGAGCTCGTTTCGGCAGGGTCAAATATCGTTCCATTTTCATAATATAAATCATGGTGTATCTATACACCAAATTGCACCCTCTGGCCAACATGCCCACTCAAAAATAAAAAATGCGTTTTTTTGGGCAACCCTAAAGTACCGGTTGTCCGCGGTAACCAGCCGCCTTCCGCTACCTCCACCGCTCCCCCTCGCCTTCCAGTGCGTAGGAAACCCGTCGAGCCGTCGCGTCCTCTCCTGGACACCGTGTACACCGTAGTAAGTCGGTAAACGACCGCATTACAGCCAAATTTCTCTCGGGGAACACACGGAGTACAATCACAGTACAGTACATCTGCGCTATTAGTTCGTATTACGAAGACTATTTCAAGTTAAGATATCAACACTCCCGATTTTTTACTATAGTCATGAAGCGTTAAGATTCCACAGTTGCTTCGTATCAAGCAAGTGTTGGGACCGAGGGAGCCACCACTTCGAATTATGATGTACACAGATTATACGTGGGATTACAGGGATTACACATGAATTTTGTGGGATTTTACAATAATTTTGTTGAAGTTCTGGGGTTAAAACAATTCAATTTGGATTATTAGGTGATATTGAGTGATAACTTTTCTAAATTTGGTTAATTATGACACGGATTAACTAGGGATTACAGTTCCATCTGTACACAGGATCACAAGAGTCGTGACCCTCTCGGTTGGGACCACTACCTGTTTATTCCACAAATGGGGGCAACGTCCTGCACTCGCTTACCTGAGGAGGAGGTTGCTGATCTGGGCCCGGTGGGGGACCGGGACCACTCCGGACTGTGGTATGTCCCGGGTGTCCAGGCTGGCAGTACGCTGGGTTGCCCATGCACTGGCCGCTGTGTGTTCTCCCCGGCCTACAAGCCAACCCCGTCTCCTGCCAACTGTTGTTTTCTCCCGGCGCGATTACAGGACGTAAATTGCTAACTACGGCGTTTTCTCTTTATGCTGCAGGTCTGCGGAAAGTTTACCCATATTACTTCACCTTCACCACCTTCACCAAGGGCCGGTGGGTCGGCGAGAAGATCCTGGACGTGTTCGCGAGAGAGTTCAGAGCGCACCCGGCGGAGGAATATGTAAGTTTCCTCTCTTTTTTTTCTCTCTCTCTTTTTTCCCCCCCCGCCGCACATCTCCATTCAACGGCGGCCAGTTTTTGTTTCACTTTTCTTTGGTCTAATAAAAGCTGCGAAATGTTTTCATGTTTCCTTACAGGAGCGCTGCATTAAAGGCGGCACTCTTACCGTCAACTATGAGAAGGTGGACGTGGATTACAAACTGAAACACAATGACCTGCTCGCCAACATCGTTCACAGGTAATGTCATGCCTGGATGGAGACTGTATTTCTGACCCGTCGGAACAGTCGGGACAAGAGCGGGCAAGAGGCAGACACGCGAATTAAAAATATCACAAGATCTCTCCTAGCCTGCTCACCCCTCTCTTTTTTTAAGTCTTTTCTTTTCACAGTGTTAACGCCGCCTACTTTGATCTCCCACGTAAAAGACGGACAAAAGCCGTCGGGAAACAAAGCCCCCCTGTGGTTTTTCATTCCAATTAAGGCGGAGGGCTGCCACTTTGTCAACACGCAGAGGGACGTGGAGGGAAGATAGGGTTGTTTAGCGTGCCCGTCGCGTAGGGCAAATCTCTGTCATTGACTGCCGCCGTTAAAAGAAATTATAGAAAGACAACTTTTTTTAAAGAAGAAAGCAAAAAAAGTTTATCCACTCTACTCCTTTTTTTTAATAATCTATTTTGGTTTTTGGTTTTCGCGATCACGTTAAGATGTCGAAGAAGGTAGTCCTTCCCTGGCTGTCTTTCGCCTCTGCATCCAGTACGGTTGCGTGTGTTCGGAATGTGTTTTGCAGAGTGAGAAACGTGATCCACCCCCGAGACGGGCGTCACGTTGTGCATCTTGGAGTTTGTCGTAGAGGATCTCCTTCTCGGGCATGATAGTCCTCGTCATGAGAAATCGTTCGTAACCAGGCGTGGCCCTAGAGCGGTGGCTTGGTTTGCGCACCGTCCAAAGACGATCGCCAAAACGATGTCGATGAAAATGTTGTTTCCGACGCCGATGTTGTCATTTTAACATCGTTTCAATTAATGCTTTGGCAGTCATTTCGCCCAGTCACTATGACCACGCCTGAAACCGATCAGAACAGCCTAAAGGTTGTAAGTCGTGTGTGAGACCAACCTGCTAGGGCCGTCTTTCTTCTTTGCTTCCTCGTGTGTGCCCTATTTGCCCCTTACCATTTGGACCCCTAGCCTCCCTAGTCCACGATTTGAACCCAGGACTGAGGTGCCGGGAAGAAACTCTTGTGCATGTGTAGTAGTGATCTGTCCCAGCACGACCGATGCGGACTGCGTGACAGTGTGGTTAAGACGTCACCTAACCCTCAACAAAAGGGATACCCCGTAAAACTAGGACACTGTGTGTCAAATTTATTATGCAGGAAACACTGCAGGTTACCTAAATAGAAAAAATAAAATAAAACATTTTAAGAGGAAACTTTTACAATTATCAGATGCTGCCATATATACGCCATAAAATGACACAGTATCCTGGTTTTACAAAGTAGCTTCAACCTCCTTCAATGCAAGACGGTGGTGTTGTATCAGTCGTTAGTAACCAACCTACCTACAGCAACCCAATACTTTGTTCCATTTTGTTTTCATTACAAAAACGACGGTTTTACAAAAACACACGTTACGAAACCCAGCAAAACGTAAACGGTAGACGTGTGTGTGTGACGGCAGCCTGCTGTGACGAGGCCTACTGTTGCAGACACGAGGTTCCCGTCACTGCGGAGCCCATCTCCATCGTACACATGGACGGCGACGTGGTGGTCGTTAACAAACCCGCCTCCATACCCGTAAGTGAGGGGCCGCCGCCTGCATGCCTGCATGCCTGCACTGCTTCAGACCTTCAACACCGCTCCACCTCGACCTCTTAATATTTTCCCCCTCCCTTTTTTTTTGTCCATTTTTATTATTTCTTTCGGACGCCAATAAAGAACACGGCAAGAAATATTTCAATAATACAACAAAAGGACAAACTTTAATTCTGTGGTCGTACTTACGCCAAGCGCCGCATAGCGTTTCTTTCATTTTAATTTTCGTCGAAAATGTCGTGTTCTTTTTTCCATTCTTCCTTAACTCTACATTTTTAAGAGACGTGTACCGTGTAGTACATTGGAAACGCATGCATCCTTCCGCTTTGCTCTCCTGGAGTTTTATCATGTTTTGATTTACCTGTAGAAAATAACCACGAGTTGGAACTTCGCGAGGTAGGTAGAAAACCTGCACGGTAACCTTGGCTTTCAGCGGTACTACTTCTTTCACGCCTTTATTTGATTTTTTCTGTACGTTTCTTTTTTACTTTTAAGTTTTTTGCTACCGAAGCCCGAGCTCCTCCTCTGTCGTAAACCGGCTCTCTTTTAAAGCGCAGTGAGACAAAGGAATGTCTTCTTCCACGTTTTGTTGATGAATAATCCTGTAGAGAAGGATACTTTTGTTTTCATTTTATTTTATGGGACGTCGCTCGCCGCGCTGTCTATTTTGTCATGGCGTTACGCGTAATCCCATCAGTTTTGTGTACTGCCGACTGAAAAGGAGGATTTTAAAAATTTCCCTTCTATCAGTGTTAATAACCTCTTTCTTCCAGCATAAAAGCGACCAGCGCTGCTGCCGTCTGCTAGGCAAGCAGAAGACCAACCTTTTATTTATTTTTTCGGTGTATCACCGACGTCTATTTCATTTTTTGTCCACACCAGAGATTTGATGATGTGGTGGTTGTGAGATCCGGCCAGATTGGCTCGAAGGCGCGCGTAACTGTGCCGCGAGCGCCGAGGGGAGGGAGGGAAGGCGAGGCCGTGGGTCGGGTGG